GGAGACAGCAGTGAGGCAGAGTAGAGAGGGAGTGAAATGGGTGACAGGAGACAGGAGTGAGGATAGTAGAGAGCTAGTCAGGGAAGATGGGGAGAAGTGAGAGTAGAGATAGTGAGGGGCGACAGGGAGGACTAGGAGTAGAAAGACAGAGAACAGTGAGTAAAGAGAGGATTGAGTGTAACGAGATGAGAGTAGAGAGGGTAGTGAGTGGGGAGAGAGGGGGTTAGAGCAGCGATACGGGACTGAGAGTACAGAGTGGGGAGTAAAAGGATAGCGAGTTACAGGGGAATGAGGGAAGACGTGTAGAAATAAGAATGGAGTGACAGAGGGGTGTGAGAGGGGAGACCGAGGGAACACTGCAAGTGAGGAGTGAGAATGGAGAGGCAGGGCAATGAGAGAGAAGTAGGAAAGACTGAGGGAAGACAGGGAAGGAGGAGTGAGAAGGGAGAGACAGGGAGTGAGAGAGAACAGTGAAGTGAGAGAGGAGAATGTGAGACGGGAGATACAGAAGTCAGAGACAGAGGGAGGACATGGAGGGAGAAGTGAGCACACAGACAGGAAAAGTCAGAAAAGAGAAGTAGAAGAGGAGACGGAGGGAGGAATGAGAAGGGAGAGCAAGGGGTAGTAGAATATACAAATGAAAGAAAAGTGAAGAGAAAACGAAAGTGAGAAGGCAGAGGGGGAGAAGTGAGTGGGGAGAGAGAAAGAGAGACAGCAGTGAGGAAAGAGATGTAGACTTAGGGCAGACATGAAGCGGGGAGTGAGAAAAAAATAGTTGTGAAAGGAAATGGTAGAATACTGAGGGAACGCAGGGAGAGAGGAGTGAGAGAACTGAGAAGAAAGAGGGAGAGAGGGGGGAGTGAGGGAGCGTAGATACAGAAGTGGAGAGAGAAAGGGAGTAGTGAGAGTGGACATAGTGAGAAGTTAGAGGGAAGACAGGTTGACTGACAGAAGACAGGGAGGAAGGAGTATGGGGCAGACATAGGGTAGTTGAAAGAACAGAAAATTGAGATGGAGAGAGAGGTAGAGGAGACAGTAGATACAGAAGTCAGAGGACATAGAGGGAGAGTGAGGGCAGATAGTGAGGGTCGGCAGAGCGAAGTGGAGAGACAGGGAAAGAGAGAAGTGAGAGGAAGGGCGAGTAGGGAAGACAGGGAGAGTGTATTGAGAGTGGAGAGACAGGGATTTGAGAAAGAAGTGGGAAGACATGGAGCCTTGGAAGACGAGGGAGGAGTGAGAATGAAGACACATGGGAGTGGAGGAGAGAATAGAGAGCTTGAGAGGAGAGGGGTGTGAGGGAATAGAGATAAAGAAGTGAGAGGAATGAGAGAGGGAAGAGAGTGAGTTTATACAGGAGGGGAGCGGAGGGAGAGTGAGGGAAGACTAGGAGGACTGAGAGTGGAGAGACAGGGGAGTTGAGAGTAAACAGAAGTAAGAGGAAAGAGGGAGACTAGGTGAAAAGAGGGAGGAGTGAGGGTGGAGAGACAAAAGGGAATGAGAATGGAGAGAAAGAAGAGAGGAAGACTGAGGGAACACTGGGAGTGAGAGAAGAATGGAGTGAGAGAAGAGAGAGAACAGAGAGAAAGGGAGACTGAAGGAACACAGCGGAGAAGAGTGAGAATGGAGACGAGGGGAGTGGGCGAAGTGAAGAAAAGGGGAGGGGAATTGAGTGAATACAGTGAGGGAGGAGGAAGAGTGGAGAGGCAGAGTGGAGTGAGAGGAAAGAGCGGGAAGCTGAGGGAAGACAGGGAGGGAGGAGTGCGAGTGGAGAGACAGGGGAGAGAGACCAGAGAGGGAAGACAAGGAAGGAGTGGTGGGAGTGGAGAGAGCAGTGAGAGGAAGGAGTTCCAGACTGAGGTAACCCAGGAAGGGAGGAGGAGTGAGTAGAAACAGAGGGGAGTCAGAAAGAGGGTAGAGAAGTGAGAGGAAAGAGAGAGGTGGAAAGACGGGGGAGTGAGAAAGAGTAGATACAGATCAGAGGAGAAAGGGAAGTTAGCCAGAGATGTGTGAGAGTTGACAGGAGTGAGGGACAGAGTAGAGAGAGGAAAGTAAGAAAAAGGTTGAGGGAAAGCAGGGAGGGAGGAGTGGGAGTGGGGAGACAGAGGGGAGTGAGTGAGAGATGTAAGAAGAAAGGTGGAGACTGAGGGAAGTCAAGGAGGGAGGAAGTGACAGAATGGAGATAGAGGGTGAGAGAAGACTGTGCTGACAGGGAGGAAAGAGAGGGAGAATGAGGGAAGACAGGGAGGGAGTGGTGAGAATGGAGACAAAGTGGAATGAGAAAGAATAGAAGGAGCAGTGGGAGGAAAGAAAGAGGGAGAGTGGAGGGACAGTGAGGAGTGAGAGAGGAGTGAGGAAAGAGGAGACTGCAGATTTGAGGAAGGAGTGGTGGTAGATGGACAGAGGGGAGTGAGAATAAAGAGCAGTGAGAGCAAAGTGGAGGGACAGTAAAGTAAGTAGAAAGAGTGACACGGGGGAAGGAGTGAGAATGGAGAGACTGAGGGTAGTGTGAGAGACTAGGGAGAAAAGTGAGAGCAAAGAGGGACTGCGAGGGAAGTGAGAGAATAGAGGGCTGTTAGAGGAAAGCAAGGGAGGGAGGGGGCAAGCTAGGGAGTGAGAATAGAGGGAGAATCGAGAGGAGAGACAGGGAGAGAGAGTGTAGGGAGTGTGAGAGTAGACACGGAAGTCAGGAGAGAGAGAGGTTGAGGGAACACAGGGAGAGTGAGAAAGAGGGAAGTAAAGTGAGTGGAGAGGGAGACTGAGGGAAGGGAGGGAAGAGTGAGTGAACAAAGTTAGGGGACAGAGAATAGAGAAAGCAGTGTGAATAAAGAGGGAGGGAGAGTGGGGCAAGATTAGGAGGAAGGAATGAGAATGGAGAGACGGGAGAGAATAGAAGTCAGGAAAGAGGGAGAGAAAGGGAGAGATAGAGGGAAGTGAAAGAATAGATAAGTCAGAGTGGAGAGAGGAAGTGAGGGGAAGACACAAAAGGAGGAAAGAAATGGTGTGACAAGAGGGGAGAGAGAACACTGGGAGCAAGGAGTGAGAATAGGGCAATGAGAATAGAGAAAAGTAAGAAGAGAGAAAGGGAGACTGAGGGAAGACAAAGAGGAAGGACTAAGAGTAGAGAGACAGAATGAAGTGAGAGAGGGAAGTAGAGGAGAGAGGGAAGTAGAGGAAAGAGGGAGAGTGAGGGAGCATTGGGAGGGAGGAGTGAGAATGGAGAGACGAGGGAATGAGAATAGAGGAGTGAGGGCAAGAGCGGGGGAGGCTGAAGAAACACGGAGTGAGAATGCAGGGACTGTGGGTTGGAAGACAGGATAATTAGACAGGAGTAAGTGAGGAGTGAGAATAAGTAGGAAAATTATAGTGGAGTGAGGAGAGAGACCATAGAGGGAGGAGTGAGGCAGAGCGGAAGATTATTGATGAGAGAGAGATGAGGGAGAGTGACTGGGTAGTGCAGGAGAGAGCGGCTAGGGAGGAGGGGGAGAGAGGACCGAGATTAGAGGGAGCAGGGACAGGACAGAGGAGAATGTTGGAGCAGCTGTAGAGGGCAGAGCGAAGACTGAGAAAAGAGTGGAATGAGAGGAGTGGGGAGACTGGCGGGGAGGAATGAGTGAATAGATAGAGGGAGCAGAGGGAGTGAAGAGGGTGAGGGGATGAGTGAAGGGAGTGAGGGGAACAGTGGAGTGAGAATAGCAGTGGGGAGAGGATTGAGAAAGGAGAGGACAGACAGGTGAGAGAAGGGTGCGGAGAGGTGTGATAGGGGAGGGAGAGAGGAGTAAGGTTGAGAGGGGGTGGTCAGAGAGGGACAAAGAGAATAAGGGGCGGAGGAGTGGGAGAAACGGAGAGGCGGTGGGACAGATTAGAGAGCAGAGTGAGAGTAGGTGTGAGAGGAGAAACAGTCGGGGAGACTGAGAGAAAGGGCCTGGGAGCGAGCGCAGACGGAGGGAGTGTACAGGGGAGTGAGAGAGGGAGACGGGAGGGGAGGGGAGAGGGCACAGGAGAGAGTGGAGGAGAAGTTATAAAGAGAGAGAACAGGTAAGGAAGAACGGTGAGAAAGTAGAGAGAGAGGGAGGAGGGAGAGAGCGGAGGAGCAGTGAGCAGTAGAACCAGGGAGTCAGAGAGGAAGGAGTTAGAGGGATGGAGTGAGTGAGTTGAATTTTTACTCACTGGAGCTTCCAGGTTTTCTCCAGGGGGCGCTCTCCCACACCTGTGTTCACCAGTCCAGAAGTTTCCCACAGCCCTGTTCTCTTGGATTTTCAGGGAGTCTTTATTAGATAATGGTGATGGATTACATCACTTACCATGATGTTTGTCAACCTCAGCCCCCTCCTCTACACAGGGTCACAGAGTGGGACTGCAAGTTCCAGCCCTCTAATCACAGGGTTGGGCGTACTGTTGACCAGTGCTTATCCTCACGTAATTTTCAAGTCACCTCATTAACATACAGAACAAAATCCTTTGGTTCACAGGCCCACACTCAATCCACTGAGCGACACCAGCCAGGGCAACAAAATCCTTTATTACTCTCAATTCTTAGGTACTTCTAGGGGCTTGAGGGTCTTGTGAGCCAGAAGCTAATTCATGGATGATGACCAAATGTGTTTTAGAAATCGTCATGTCGAAAAAGGTTTACGCTGTTAACACTGTCTAGTTTGACACCACAAAAACAGTGCTACCTGAGCATCGGTAACGTGCTGGTAACGTTCAGTTCTGCACCCTAGTGTTCGTTCAGCGCTTACCCCTGTGCACATCTTGAAAGGAGACCCAGTGTCTTACTAATCTCGGGTGCTACCCTGTATGGCAGTGCCAGAGGTACTGGGGAACCTGAACCATTATACATGTATTTGACAAAACTGAGTAAAAATGTACCGCTGGTGTCATGTGTAAATTGTGGTGAATGACTCTCTTACAGTAATACGATAGGAATAACTTTTTCATGTGCCCTTTCTGTATCACCAAATGCTCATCATTCCAGAATGAATAGCAATATGCCATTTCAGGGGTCAGTCTCATTCACGGATGTGACTGTGGACTTCACCCAGGAGGAGTGGGAGCAGTTGGACCCCTCGCAGAGGATCCTGTACATGGACGTGATGCTGGAGAACTACAGCAACTTACTGTCAGTGGGTAAGGCAGCTTTTGGGAGTAGCCCTGCGTGCACCCAGCAGCGTTTGTGTCCTTCTCAATTACCAGAAATCATGAGCTTCTAAATTACTGTGAATTTGGCCTCAGGCTTCAAAAGCTGAGAAAGAGGGAAGACTCTGAAGTTCTAATGTCCAGGCCGTTTGGAGCTATGTTCCATCATCAGGTCTCTGATATTGTGAGATCAGCTCTGATTTTTAAGTTGGAGCCACAGAGCTGCACAGTTAGAATTGCCAGTTGGGGCTCTCTGGGAAGCTGTGGAATGAGGGAGGCAGGGTTGGAAGCCACTAGAGGTAACATCCCAAGGGTTATGAATGACTTGGCATCTGTGAAATATTTTTAGGACTTTTTTTCTTTTTTCTTCAAATCCCTACACCTTTAGAGATGGCTACAAACGGTCTGGCTACTCAGATGTCAGAATATTTTCCCCATTAGCTCATGGTAATTGGTGTGATGGCCTCAAGGAAACGGTGCAGGAGTGCCATTGTCCCAGACACGATAGCAGCAGGGTCACAGGAGTCAGTGACCCACAGAGGAAAGTAAAGGTTATTAAAAGTCTAGGGGGAGGCAGGCAGTTTGAGCCTTAATATCCTTTCAAATAAAATTAGGGACAAAATTGGCTTGGGGAAGAAAGGAAGCACTTTAAAAGGAGAAAAGTGAGATGCAGTGAGGAAAACATTCTCCGACAGCTTCAACGGAAAGAAAAGCTCTGCCGCAGCAGTAGCACTGACTCCATCAGAGAGATCTCGGGTCGGTTTTGCATTTCCTACAGAGCACATGAGTTTCTGGATCTCACCACTCATTTGCAAAAGCCTTACTTCAAAGCAGTGATTTTCAGCCTCTTTTATCTCGTGGCACACATGAAGTAATTACTAAAATTCTGCAGCATACCAAAAAATAGATTTTTTTTGCCAGTTTGACCCCCAAAAAGTGTGATTTTGATTCATTGCCATGGGACAGCTATTGTGTTGGCTGTGTCATTTTTTTATTTGGCAGTCTCAGGGAGGTCGGTGCCCCTGAAGAAATGGTCAGGTAGTGCGTGTTGTAAAAGTTCTTGAGGCACACAGGCTGAAAATCGCTGCTGTTGCAGCTTGGTTTGGCGCTCTGCAGTGGGGTTGTCTCTGCCACACTGAGGAATCCTGCTGATAGGAAGTTACTTGGTGCAGATGAGCAGGGCGGTGGGGTGAGAGCCCAGAAGCGTGCCGATGAGGTCGGACCACAATAATTCACAGTCACAGTTTGGATTTCTAAACTCAGATCTGCCTGGCTTTTCCTTTAACATCTTCAGGTGCTTATTTTCTTGGTCCCTCTGCCAACTGTCCAGTGTCCTTGGGGACGCTGCCCACTTCCTTTGTCCCTGCATTGCCAGGCATCCACTTCATGTGTTTCCTGTTAGCAGCCTGTGTTTTCATTTCACTTTACCCCTTCTTACGGTCATTCTATGATCTGGCAGTGCTACTTGTGTTCGCCGTCAGTTTCCACTTCTTTTTTTCCCCTTAAGAGCTAGGGGAGTTTGTGCGGGGACATTAAAGACTGCAAGACCAGGTCCCAAACGAAAGAGGCAGCCCTGCAGTGTAATGTTTGAGAGGCCTCTCATTTGGTGCCATTATGGTCACAGAACTGACAGAGTGTATTCCCTGTGCTCCTGGAAGTGTGGAGAGTGACAGATGCATTCCATGTGCTCTCTCCTAGAGGGGTGGAGAGTGACACACTGTATTGTGTGCTCTCTAGTAGAGGGGTGCAGAGTGATAGAGTGTCTTCCATGTGCTCTGTCCTAGAGTGGTGGACAGTGACAGTGTATTTTGTCTGCTCTCTCTTCTAGAGGGGTGGGGACTGACAGTGTGTTTTTTGTGCTCTATTTCCACCTCTCTCCACCCCTACAGGTGTGCACACGAAGTATACTCTCCTACAGGTGTAGAGATTGACAGTGTATTCCTTGTGCTCTCAGAGGGAATACACTCTCTCAATCTCCACCCCCGTGGGAGAGAGAGCACATGAAATACACTTCAGTCTCTGTACCTCTAGGAGAGTGTTTTTCATGTGCACACCTCTAGGAATGGAGAGAGGTGGAGATAGAGCACACGGAATGCACTCTGTCAGTCTTCACAACTCTAGGATCGAGCACACGGAATGCACTCTGTCACTTTCTGCCTCTAGGAGAGAGCACACGGAATACACTCCTAAAATGGTAGAGAGTGACAGTGTATTCTGTGTGCTCTCTTTAGAGGGGTGGAGAGTTTCAGAGATCACTCTGTGTGCTCTCTCCTAGAGGCGTGGAGAGTGACAGAGTGTATTCCCTGTGTTTTCTCCTAGAGGCGTGGAGGGTGACAGAGCGTATTCCCTGTGTTTTCTCCTAGAGGCGTGGAGGGTGACAGAGCGTATTCCCTGTGTTTTCTCCTAGAGGCGTGGAGGGTGACAGAGCGTATTCCCTGTGTTTTCTCCTAGAGGCGTGGAGGGTGACAGAGCGTATTCCCTGTGTTTTCTCCTAGAGGCGTGGAGGGTGACAGAGCGTATTCCCTGTGTTTTCTCCTAGAGGCGTGGAGGGTGACAGAGCGTGTTCCCTGTGTTTTCTCCTAGAGGCGTGGAGGGTGACAGAGCGTGTTCCCTGTGTTTTCTCCTAGAGGCGTGGAGAGTGACAGAGCGTGTTCCCTGTGTTTTCTCCTAGAGGCGTGGAGAGTGACAGAGTGTATTCCCTGTGTTTTCTCCTAGAGGCGTGGAGAGTGACAGAGTGTATTCCCTGTGTTTTCTCCTAGAGGCGTGGAGAGTGACAGAGTGTATTCCCTGTGTTTTCTCCTAGAGGCGTGGAGGGTGACAGAGTGTATTCCCTGTGTTTTCTCCTAGAGGCGTGGAGAGTGACAGTGTATTCCCTGTGTTTTCTCCTAGAGGTGTGGAAGGCTGATGACCAGATGGAGAGGGAGCATGGCGACCCCGAGGAGCAGGCTCGGCCGTTTATAGTCTTTAAGAGCCAAACCACCATGGAGGAAAGAAGTGATCTCTTTGGAAAACCGTTCCATCTAAACACAGACTTTGTTTCTTTGAGACAAGTACCGTATAAATTTGATTTATATGAAAAAACTTTGAAATATAGCTCAGACCTACTTAGTAGTAACAGCTATATAAGAAAGCAAGCTGATGAGTATGATGGGTTTGGAAAAGCACTTCTCTACCTAAAGCAAGAGAAAACCCATCCTGGGATGGAGTACGTTGGCTATAACAAGAGTGGGAAAGCCTTTGGCCATAAAGACACCATTTTTAAACATCAGAAAATTAGAAATTTGGTACAGCCTTTCATTTGTAACTACTGTGACAAGACTTTCTCCTTCAAGTCACTCCTTGTTAGTCATAAGAGAATACACACTGGAGAAAAACCTTATGAATGTAATGTGTGTAAGAAAACCTTCTCCCACAAGGCAAACCTCATCAAGCATCAGAGAATTCATACCGGGGAGAAACCCTTTGAATGCCTTGAATGTGGGAAAGCTTTCACCCACCAGTCCAACCTCATCGTGCACCAGAGAGCACACATGGAGAAGAAGCCGTATGAATGCGGTGAGTGCGGCAAGACGTTTGCCCAGAAGTTTGAACTTACCACACACCAGAGAATTCATACAGGGGAACGACCTTACGAGTGTAATGAATGTGCAAAAAGCTTCTTCAAGAAATCAAACCTCATCATACATCAGAAAATTCACACAGGGGAGAAACGGTACGAGTGCAGTGAATGTGGGAAGTCCTTTATCCAGAACTCACAGCTCATTATCCACATGAGAACTCACACCGGGGAGAAGCCCTACGAGTGCACGGAATGCGGCAAAACATTCAGCCAGCGGTCGACTCTTAGACTACACTTGCGAATCCACACGGGAGAGAAACCATATGCGTGTTCTCAGTGTGGGAAGGCCTTCAGCAGGAAGTCCCGACTCAGTGTCCACCTTAGAGTTCACATAGGTGACAAACCCTGAGACCACAGCCAGGTTGGCCTGTGTGGAACCCTCCCTGTCGGGGAGAGACCTCCTAAGGTACTGCCGAGCATGGAATTCATACTGATACAATCTACAGACTCGAAAACATGTAAAACATAGGGTCCCCTAAGAATAATAATGGATATACTGAGCGTTAGGTGTGATACTCAACTAAAGAATACATATCAGAACATATTCAAGTGTAAATAGACATAATTAACGGTATTACATTGAGCTTTTTAAATCTGAAATCAATTATTCAAGAATGAAATATTGTGGGAAGTAGCAGGAAAGGTCTACAGACAGTACCTAGGAATTCAGTGGTTGTGTGTGTTATTATACCACAAAAAAAACCCACACACAAAAATACACTTTAGATCTACACATGTAAATTTAACAAAGTCCCTGGAAGTTTGAAATTCTTGTCCTCTGCAATAATTAGGACACATCAAACAAGATTGTCCATATTAAATGTCACATGTGTGTTTTCAGCATCTTTGCAACTCAGTACACATTCCAAAGGAAATACGGGACGGATTTTAAAGTAGCATGTAGCATGTTGTCTCCCACTGCCTGCCTGCGTGTGTGAGTTGGTGTGATCATTGTTACTGAGCAGCCTCCTGGTGAACAGAAGGCAGTGTTGAAGTTTTAACCTGCTTCTGGACTTGCTGAAGACTTTCTAGGCGCGTTATATATGCAAACATGAGGTAATTAGGAAGGCGGTGTGGAGACTACGGGAAGGCAGCCGTGGGCTGTGCTTCTCAGTGTGCACCAGAGAACAGAAAGGGGCTGGAGAGCAGAGCCCCGTCCGTCGTGCTGTTCATTGGGGTGTTTACACACAAATGCGTGCCGTTACCAAAATGGTGTATAATCCAGAAACCACCTGTGTTTCCCTAGTTTCTCTTACTATTTTATGAATTATCTTGTAAAAAATGGTAGGATGTATACATAGTGCTCAAATGTTAGTTACCTTTCAGAGACTTTAAGGGAAAAATAATTTATTTTAAGACACTCACGTCTCATTGCTTTTTAAAGTTTCCGTGTGCATAGCCCACCGTGGAAACAGTTTTTGCAGTCATCCGAGTAGGGGGGCATTTCTACTTCTTGAGCTTCACTGTCATCAACCTAAAGCATTTGCCTTCGGAATCTGACTTGCTGTAAGTCATGCCTTTACTTTAAGAGTTCGCAAACACTTCTATAAATTAGACCTGTTCAGTGGTCTCCCCATATATGTTTAACTACAAAAATTTATCTTTCTTTGTGTAACTGAAAGATACACCATTTGAGGCTTGGTTTTAGATTCACAATTTCTTTATTTTCCTGTCAATGACAAATCATGCCTTAGAATTGTAAGTGTAGATACATTTACAATTGTAAATGTATATAGAAAAGGCTATAACTGGCTTTTTAAAACTAGTTTTTGAAGATCAGACAGGCTGTAACTACATATGAATGTGACTTTCTGAACAAATGTACTAGAACATCCGTAGTCCAGTAAGTGTTTAAGTTGTCCCATTTTATCTGCCGACAGTGAGGAAGCAGGGGGCAGATGGGTGTCACTCTGGTAGAACGCACGTTGTGACGGGCCCCTTGGAAATCACTGTGACTGCCTTTTCACATTAAGAATCGGCATAGTCTTCAACCCAGCAGTGTCATTTTGGGAAACCTATCCCTAAGGGGAAAAAGTGCCAGTACTTAAGGTTATGTGTGTCAATGTATATTGTATTTTTGGGTAAGGGCAAAGGGAAACAGTGTAAATGACCATCGTTAGGGGTAGGGGAGCGATGAAACTGCGGTACCGACAGACCATGGCTGATGGTGTTTCAGAGTAACAGTGTGGAGGAGCAACACCTCCAGGTCGGATAATGAAAAAGAAAGAATATATACCAAACTTTGTAAAATAAAGACCTAAGAACCGTGTGTGTGCGTGTGTATGACTTTAGGAGCCTGGAAAATAGACTTCTCCTAAGTAAAAAATACAATTGCCATTAATTCCACTGGAAATTTTTTCATGCATTCCTTGGTCCCTAAATTAACACTCATTTATACCAAAGACAACACCTTAACCCATTACAATGGACAGTTTGTTGAATAACATTAGTTAACACAAGACAAGGTAGACTCTAGCTCTCATGGCTCTGAACTTGAGCCTGAGTTCTCAACAAAAGTACATGTTTGACATAAATTGTGTATGCACTGGAAACCTTATATTTAAAAAGAAAGGAAAAAAATATTTGAAAATGAGGGATGCCAAGGTTGTTATTTCTGTAAGTTCTGAGTTACAGGTGCTTTGAGGAAGGCTAACAGACCACCTTCACAACTGCAGGGTGAGCACAGGGAACTGTCCTCTCAGGAGCCCTTGGCCCCCAGGGCCCTAGGGGTCCTGATTAGAACTTCGGGTTTCTTTTAAATGTCTTAGAGTCATAAACCAAAGTGGATTTAGATGAAATCCCTCTACACACAGATTCTTACAGCCTGGCTGCAAGACTGTATTTCATGTACCTCCCAACAAGGTCAGAGGCGGGGTCATTTCACTGGGGAGCCAGCGGCCAAGAGGCAGAGCAGTTCACACAAGAACACCCAACTGGCGGTGGGGGTTCCAGGTTCACACCTCCGCCTGCCTGACCCCAGGGCCCACACCACTGCACTTGGCGGCCCCATGACCGGTTCTTACTCCACTGATAGTTTCATTTTGGAGATTGTCTTTCCATTTCCATAGATATTTTTGGTAACTGAAGTGCTTAAATATTTTTAATTTTTCACATTGCTTTGTGCTGTATAAAGTTGGGGGTTATCTACTTGGTATAAATCTCGTGGTTAAGTCCAGTTGGTGACACCACTGTTGCTAAGTCGGAGGACTAGTCGGTCGTGGGGGCTAAGGTGACAGCATCTAGGCAGGAGGCACAAAGCTCACAGAGACACAAATGCGAGACGCCGAGTCCTGGGGGTGGGAGGCCTTTGTGGGATGCAGCTGAAGTTCAGTGCCATCCACCCCTGCTCGCTCTCTTCCCCCGGCCCTGTCGCATTGGCCACCTTGGGCTGCAGTGTCCTCATTCTCTGCAGTGGAGTGGCCCACACAGTCCTGTTCCCCCCGCCCGCCCTCTGGCAGTTGATCTGGGCAGTCCGGAGCTGTCCCCGGCCTCAGGCACAACTGCTTACCCGGTTGCCCTCAAGTCCTGCTGGCCAAAGAGCAGTGCACTCCCAGGGCCTGGTCTCCACTCAGCAGCCCTCTGACAACACCCTGTCTACGTTCTGCTGTTCTTGAAAAGAAAACTCCATAGCTCTTCCTGCTGAGCAGTAGTCTGGGACCCTGCTGCCCCATTTTCAAGCCTAGTCGGTGGGCCATGCCTGGCTGACGTTTTCTAACCCAGACTAGTGACAAAGCTTTGCAACAGGGAAGATATCAACAGCACCACTGAGGAGTGAAGGCGGCAGAGGCTCATGGTCTTTGTCACTGCTGCTGTTCTTCCTCCCCCGACCGATAGGATTTGTGGGTCTAATCAGGGCACAATGTTGCTGAAATATCAGTGGGCAGAGAGACGTGCTGGCATCTGGTGCCAGCACCTGGGAGCCCCAAGGGCACGCAGCAGCTCCTTGACACACGCAAACCCTTCTGGAAGCCTCCTGGGTGCTGCGCGGTGCGGCACGCCAGCATGCCTGGGCTCTGGTTTGACACGCCCCAGGTTGGGGGGCTGTTCCCAAAAACCCCAAGAGTTGCATGCAGGGAGGCAGACCCCCACCCCAGAGAGCTCGAGTGGGAAATCCCAGGAAGGAGAATGCTGCTCACAGAGAGGGCTACAGGGACGTCATCCTCTGTTCCCGTCACAACACGTAGGATAAGGTAACAGGAGGAAATCGCAAAACAGAAACTTAGGATCAGAAACTATACTACGGAAATTCAAAACTTTCTTAAAAGATTTTGTGCAGAAGGAAAAAAAAAGCCATTGGCAACAGAAGGATTTTAGAACACGCTTTGAGTTGTTACAGCTGCCAAAATGCACCAAGCAGCCAGTATGTGTAAAGACTAAAATCCACAACCTTCTTAAAGATCCATCCAGGCCATTGCATGTTTCCTCTGAGACACCACAGATCTGGGCCCCTCGGCTTCCCCTGAATGGGCAGAACCAAGCAACATGCCTCATGGGGTGTCCCTGTCGCCAAAGGTCACCGAGGCCTCTAGTGAGTGGACAGGGAAGGAAGGCATTTCGACAAGGGCCCGCCCTCCTCACTAGGACATACCGCCTGCGCTGTGCGCATCCTTCCATCGCAGTGATCACTGACAGCTGAGGCTCTCAGTGCGTGGAAAACATCAACAGGGCCCAGGTGCCGCAGAAGCTCAGCCGGGGTCCAGTGGGCACTGTGTTCTGCACCCAGTTCCACCATGCACGTGGGGTGGGAGTCCTCACACCAACAAGGAATTCTCAGACACCAGCTGGGTGTTCAAAAACTCGATTCCGACACTACCCAAAGATAACATCAGATTGAAGTTTACGGGTTCAGTCCTACAATACTGTACCCCCTTGCAGAGGGCAACTGTGTGCCCAGGTTGTTACCTGTGCTTCTGAAGGACTGTAAAGCAGAGGTTGCTGTGACCCCCTACTTGGGCTCAAAACTTGGCTAGAGCAGCTCAGAACTCAGGGAACCCATTTACTCACTAGGTTACCAGTTTATCATAAAAGGATATAGTTCAGGGACAGCCCGTGGGGGCGGGGGAGAGATGCACAGGGTAAGGGGTGGGGGTGGGGCTCCGGGCTCCCCAGGGGCACCACTCTCCTGAATCTCGCCCTGTTCACCATCCTGGAAACTCTCTGAACCCCGTCTCTTTGGGTTTTAATGGAGGCTTTGTTACACGGGCATGGTAGATGATTAAACCATTGGCTGTCCGTGACTGAGCTCAGCCTCTTGCCCTCTGCTTCCCTGGAGGTCAGTAGTTGGGACTGAAAGTCCCAGCCCTCTAATCACTTGGCTGGCTCCACAGGTAACCAGCCCCCAACCTTAGGTGACTTCCCAAAGTCACCCGATTCACAGAACAAAAGATACATTTATGGTTCTGGTCACTCAGGAAATTCCATGGGTGTTAGGAGCTCTGCGTCAGAAACACCTGGACCGGGGGTGAGGACCGAATATGTATTCCTGACTACACATCACAGGTAACAAACAGGTTGGTCATTTCCATGACCACAGTGACCCAAATGACCCCTCCATGTTCAACCCTAAAAAGGCCCCATTTGACCCCAAGTCCAGAGATTTCTTTGTGCAGGGCACTCCCCCTAATCACAGGGCATCACAAGTACACTTTTTAAAAATATATTTTAGTGATTATGCCATTACAGTTGTCCCATTTCCTCCCTTTCATTCCCCTCCACCCTGCACACCCCTCCCCCACCATTCCCCCCTTTACTTTATGACCACGTGTCTCAAGTTCTTTAGAGTCTATATTTCCCATACTATTCTTGCCCTCCCCCTATCTATTTTCTACCTACTGTCTATGCTACTTATTCTCTGTACCTTCTCCCCCCTTCTTCTCCCACTCCCCTGTTGCTAACCCTCCATGTGATCTCCATTTCTATGGTTCTGCTCCTGATCTAGCTGCCCTCTTAGTTTGTTTTGTTTTAGGTGTGATTGTTAATAACTGAGTTTGCTATCTTTGCACTATTCATATTTTTTATCTTCTTTTTCATAGATAAGTCCTTTTAACATTTCATATAATAAGGGCTTGGTGATGATGAACTCCTTGAACTTGACCTTATCTGAGAAGCACTTTATCTGCCCTTCCATTCTAAATGAAAGTTTTGCTGGATAGAGCAACATCTTGGATGTAGGTCCTTGCCTTTCATGACTTGGAATACTTCTTTCCAGCCCCTTCTTACCTGGAAGGTCTCTTTTGAGAAATCAGCTGACAGTCTGATAGGAACTCCTTTGTAGGTGACTGTCCCCTTAGCTCTTGCTGCCTCTAGGATTCTCTCATTTTAATCCTGACTAATGTAATGATGATGTGCCTTGGTGTGTTCTTCCTTGGGTCCACCTTCTTTGGGACTCTGAGCTTCCTGGACTTCCTGGAAGTCTATTTCCTTTGCCATATTGGGGAAATTCTCCTTTATTATTTGTTCAAATAAGTTTTCCACTTGTTGCTGTTCTTCCTTTTCTGGTACCCCTATAATTCAGATGTTGGAATGTTTAAAGATGTCCTGGAGTCTCCTAAGCCTCTCATTATTTTGAATTCTTGTTTCTTCATTCTTTTCTGTTTGGTCATTTTTTTCTTCTTTCTGGTCCGCTCCCTTGATTTGAGTCCCAGTTTCCTTTCCATCACTATTGGTTTCCTGTGCACTTCCCTTCATTTCACTTAGTTTGGCCTTCATTTGTTCCTCTAATTTGTGACCAAAATCAACCAGTTCCGTGAGCATCCTGATCACCAGTGTTTTGAACTGTGCATCTGATAGGTTGGCTATCTCTTGGCCACTTAGAAGTATTGAATCTGGGGCTTTGAGCTGTTCTTCTTCTTGAGCCATAATGTTTTGTTCTGTTTGTGCCTGTTAGGTATGAGGTGCGGAGCCTTAGGTGTTCACCAGGGCAGGATGACCCAGTCGCTGGGCTGTGACGCTGTATGTGGGGGCAAGGTCAGAGAGGGGCCAGTGGTGCTTGTTCCACTCTCTTGGATTTCAGTCCCCTCTGCTGCTTCTTGCAAGCAAATTGGGCCCTTCTGGTGCTGGTTCCTGGATGTGTGGACCTGTGGACCTGTGTACCCTCCAGGACCCTGTGGGTCTCTCCAACAAACTCTCTGTGAGCCTGGAAGCCTCTCCCAGCACCTCGACTCCCAGAAGTTTATCCAATTGGTGCTTTTAGGCTTTAATTCCCAGGCCCTGGTTTGCGCCGTCTGTCTCACTGCTCGGTCCTTCGCCTGGTTTATCTGCGTGCGAATGTGTGATCACCGCCAGCCGCCTTGCACC